AATACCTATTAATGCAAGTTACGACGTTTAGATATTAATTTCAATCAATGTGCTGCCATCTAATAAATTACTGAACAATGACGAATTGGAGTTACTAATTTAGTTCTCCAAACAAGAAGCGTTTAAGCTTTACTTTTGTTTCTTGTAACAAAAAAATGATTTCGATAAACAGAAAATTGAAAATTTATGAAAATAAGACTTCAGACGCTAACTAACTACTTCTACTGTATTTATTGTTCTGTGGTGCCACTGCTGGGTACGGGTCTCCTCTCAGGCCAGGATTTAGACCCGAGTCGCCCATACTGTCCTAATGCTAGTTGGGGACTTCACACGTTTTCCGAGGGTTGTGAACCTTCCACGTGCATGTGTCCTCACGATGTTTTCTTTCACCGAAACGCTCAAGGTAAATTTCAAATTAAATTTCACACATCAATTCCAAAAAAACTCAGAGGAGTACGTGCCCGTATTCGAAGCCACGGCCTCTGCTTGAGAGGCGGTAGGTCAAACCATTAGGCTACCACGGCTTTTCTGGTTCTGTAAGTCCTTAAAAATAGATGTATAAATAATAATGATGCAAATGGCGTGTATCCCTAAGAGAACACGTGTTGAAATTAAAAGAAAAGTGCTCATTTCACGCAAGTATAGAACTTCCCTGTGATCTGTAAACTAGCTACATGACATAAAATAAACGTACCTATCATAATTGTAACTTTATTATAAAAAAAAACCGACCTCAAAAAGTCGTGAAATTACATCTATTTGCAAAATTTTATTGAAACCGGTTACCGGAAAGTGCTTGTAACCGGATTCATCCCCTACTTTGCCACGCTTAAAGGTGGAATATTTTCTTCAAATTTAAATGGGACCAGGACTGAGGTACCCTCTTTCCAACAAATAAGAATCATCAAAATCGGTTCACAAATTATCGCGTAACATACATTAAAAAAAACAGTGCAATTGAGCCTGCTTTTTTTGCTGCAGGTAGAATGTAAAATGTATATGTGACATACTCGTATATGTGATTTATGAGAGGTAATTCATTAGGTACACAGAAATGAAAGTCAATAGAATAATTTCTACTCTATGATATTCTAAGAAGTCTCAATATTCTGGCAAGTTTTGTGTATAATTTAATGTGGCACTAACCTTAGGAGCCTTGTACAATTTGCCATACGAAATTGTCAAATACTTTTCAACATACCTGCTCGTAAATAGTATGATTGCATGGTGGCTAACTTGCCTGTAATGCCCTAAATAAAACCCTCGTGCTTTTTTCTTCCCATTACAGCATTTAGTTCGAGTTGAGATGGAAGAATAGCTAGCTGCTGATAAAAAGTCAAAAACAGTACAGAATACTAAAAAACCGACCCCAAAAGTCATTAATCCAGTTTGCCACCCTTAGCGGTGGAATATTTTCTTAAAATTTAAATGATACCATTTCTGAGGTTTCTTTCCAACAAAACGAATCATCAACATCAGTTCACAAATTATAGCGAGAGTTATCGCGTAACATACATACAAAAAAAAACATATAGTCGAATTGAGAACCTCCTCCTTTTTTTCGAAGTCGGTTGAAAACCCGCCGTTTGCAAAATCCATAATTGTTGTGTTGTGAACCATATTTATTCATACAAGAAGTAGACATTTTATTTATTTCCTCGCAAATGTGATGAAAAACATTGTATGTATCACGCACGGTAAAAAAATACAAAACTCGAATTTCTAATAGACCCTCGTTGCCAATTTCTTATTTACCGTCCTTAATACATAATGTACCTAAAATTACGTGATCTCTAGCTTTTATCTATACCAACATAATAATATAATCTTGTAGTAAAGGCACTATTTCCATAAACAAAACGTTTTGCATATCTGCTTCCTCATTTCCGTTTCCTTCTTTTACGTCGTGACCCAGTTCCGTATTCGGATCAAACACAATATTCCGCAAACATTTTTCAGTGAAACACTTCCACCTGTCTATCTGTTACCTTAAACGACTAGGCTAGGCCAAGGTCGCGGGAGTGGGCCCGTCATACCACATCTGATATTGCCCTGAACTTCATTTGCATATACCTCAAAGCTGTTATAACCTTATAACACATTCACCTTCCCCGTCTTACTTATTAACCTTTATATTTCACTTGGAAAAATGTATCCTGTATAAAATGTTGCGCTATGGTTTTGTGAAAGCAGATTTTAATTTTTTAAGCGGGAGTTTATCTTGTTTTAGGGTATGTTCACACGACAAGCGTTCAACGCGCGTTAGGTTTTTGAATAGTGTACACATGACAGGCGCTTTTCGGGCGTTGAGTGCGCATTGAAAAATTCCGTATTAAAGTCTTCTGTACCCGTTTCTAGAAAAAAATCTATTTCAATTGCAAAACACGTATCACCGCGTCGAAAACGCGCGCTCATGTGAACGGCAGTACGGCAAACCTATGATCTCAAAGCGTGCTTTAACGCGCGTTGACAAGTGCCCGGCATTAGCGCGGCGTTGAACGCTCGTCATGTGAACATGCTCTTATTGTCTCCTTTATTTCATCGTGGGTTGTTCAATTTCGTAGAACACATAAATATTAATGCATAATTAAGACAAAAACAGATAAAATGTGTTAATTAATACAAAGATCGAAAACTAAGAAACATTCCTCCGATTCCGATTTTTTTTAAACGCACACACTCAACATAGCCCCGCACTAGAGAAACCCTATGTCGCGGGTGCCATGGACACACACATAGACAACCACAAATTACACCCTAACTCACGAGATAAATAAATATAGGCCATACAACTAGTTCTCCCGGCCCGGGAATCGAAACTGGGACCTCTGCGTGGCAGTGTGGCATGGTAACCGTTCGGCCACTGAGGCAGTTTAAATTGTATTCGAACCAGCGCCTTCTGCATACCATGCGTGATTATGATTATAATTAGATATGGTATTTTACTTGTACGTACTAAGCTTGCGTTCATCGTTATCCCACCCTTTTCACCCTTTCTCTGGTTCCTGGCCACCTACTTTGAAATTTTGAATCGTTCTTAAATACCTTTTCTTCTTCGTCACTTACTTTTCTTTCCATCGCCACTCTCTACAAAATTTTCGAAGCGAGCACACGTGCTCGATTTCACTTCAAGTTTCTGACCAGTTAAATCATTTAACCTAACTGCTTGTAAAGATTTAATATTAGTAATACCATTGAAAATCATGTATTTCTAGAAATTCTAGGCCCTTTTAGGCCTTTACGCCTTTATTTCACCTGTTCTTTGCCCTTCCTGTACTCTTTCTTTATTTCTACAATAAAATTCATGTGGACCGAGTCTTCTATTAAATTGCGCGAGGGCCGCGTGACAAATTTACTAACTTACGTTACACAGGAATAAGAAACATTAAATTTGCATTTCAAATAATGTGAGTTCACGTATTTTATATTATTGCTATTATGTACTTCTACCTTCTTTTTAAGAATTCAGTACAGCATTGACATTTAATTTTGACTATTAAGCTTTCTACAAAATGATGAGGTATGAATTGAAAGCTTGCAAGATAACATACTCGGCAATAGAAAGATTGCAGACAAAAATGCGCTGCTTCTTGTGGGAGAGTTCATCCCATTTGTGTCGCCGAGCATTAATGTGAGCACAGTTTGATTTTGAAGACGAGGGCAGCGGCAGTGCCCTTCAAATCTGCAATTTAAAGCTCAGAGTCGCAGTGTCACCGTTAGGTGTTGGCTTGCCACCAGCTGAACGACTTATACCTACATCCCGAACTTGGTATCATAAAAAATAATAATAATAAGATTGTTTATGGCCTCACCACAATTCAGAAAGTATATTAAACAAGATATCATGAACAATACATGACAACGGTAATTCCAATGTGGGAGACTGGTGCTTAAACTAGACGTGAGATCTATACTTCAGGTCACCGGGTTGCCACCCTTTGGAAAATAATTGCAATTTTCTTAAGAATTATGTACTCGAACTATGACAATTGCGATAAGTTAGGTACCAAGGTTATAAATTAAAATATTGTTCATAGAAACATGCTATATTTGATTAATAATTGTTGTTTTAAGTGGATATGTACTTTTTTTACTGTTCTGTTTTGAATTTCTAAGTTATGTATTTGTGAATGTTTAATATCATTTTTTTTTTACTTATTTTTATGATACCAGTTGCAGTGCCAGTCAGAGCTTTAAATCGCAAAGATCTGAGGGGCACTACCAATACGCCCGTACACATAAGTTGCCGAATCCTACCCTTAACCCTTCAAAAACCGGAACGCAGTTATGTTCATATTACTGCTTGGCGGCAGAAATAGTTAAGGTGGCAGTACTTCCCTGGATGAACTCTTGTACAAGGAGCTCTACTGCTACTAAAGTATGTGTATAAATATATGTATGTGAGTAAGCAATACCTGTATATGACAATATGCTAGCTGTACTTATAGTTTCACAGGAATAATATAATAATATGCTATCTTTTGCTGAGTGTATATACGATGTTTTAGCAATATGACTGTCTAATTGAACTTGGTTTTACTGTGCACGGCATAAATCCAACGGACTTGTTTTCTAATTTCCTTCCTTCTTATTAGCACGACTCATATGTTTAGATTTGTTGTAGAGCAGGCCACGGAGTAAATTAAAACGATGTTCGAGTTTCAAATTATTCTATGTAACGTGTATTTAAGTAAATTAAATGAACAAAAATTAATAAGTACACATTTATGAAAAGCAGTCTAATATTAATGCAAACCATCCTATTATGAACTACAAAAGTTATTAGTTGAAATATCTTATTTTTAATTTACCAAAGAACACTACAGTTTTCGCTACCTACATAATGACTTGCAAATATTTTTATTACAACAATATATTTTTTTACTAAAATTAATTTATAATGTAACGTTGGTTGTTTGAAAAAATAGATATAATTTTCTTTTTTCCAAAGATTTCATGAATACCTGAAGAAGTTGGTAAAATACTTATTTTGTCTTCAGAGCTCGCCGCCGCCTTTTAGTCCGGAGGGGCGAACGAATGATGACGATGCCATAGTGTCCATCATCGGTGCAGCCGAAGAGTTTGTCTACATCTCCGTCATGGACTACGAACCCACAACCGAGTTCACGCCGAGACTACAGTAAGTACCTCCACCACCACCATCCTACATTAAATGATTATGGTAGAGTAATAATATTTAGCGCACATTTAGCGGCACAAACGAAATACCCAAAATAATGCAGTAATTTTAAAAGAATCTGGTCAGTTATTTTAATTTTTTTTTTAAAGTTTATTTAATGAAGTTTAAGTTTATTTAAAATGTGACATTTTTTAATCAATGTTAAACTATTACATAGTTAAGCTATTTCGGCTTTGGCGCTAAATACAGGGTGGCCGGGATAGTGACGTCAAGAAAAAAGAATTAAGTGCCTCGTATTGAGAGGTATCCGAATCGAGTTATGATTTTTTTAATGAATTTTTGGAATTCTTTAATCCGCCGATCGGTTCAATTTTTTTCTTCTTCAATTTGTACACGATTTTTTCAAGATTTTTTTTTGTAACTCAATCTTAATGTATTGTGCTTTAACGCACAATATTATATTATTACTATCAATGGAAGCTACGAAAGTGTTGACCTTTAGTGGAAAATTCGCGTTCGAGCGAGTCAGGCTTGAATTTTCAAGTTCAAATTAAACATCTAAACAAGCAATTCCATAGTTCCTGGGTATAAGGGACTATACGAGAAGTTATACATTGAAATAACATACATAATAAAGTGTAAATAGTGAAATAACCTATTAGATATATAAGTGCATGTGCGAGTGTGAATATAAGTACAGCTGTACACCCAACACCCAAGTTTGAAACCATATAATTGGTGTTTTGGGTTGACACTATTAATCATTATTACTATTCCCGAGTTATAGTGCAGTGACATCCATTTTTATGTATATACAATCTATTTTATAAGGAAGTTATACTTGTATACATATACATAGCGAAGTTATAAACGAATAATATCTAGAAATGTTTGTTGATATATTACAATATTTACCTATTGAACAGCATAACAATATTAATAATAGTCATAGTAATAATAATTATTATTATAAATGAAACTATTTTTCCGGATTTAAATCGCGTATATTTGTTTTTTTTCAAAAAACAGACGTTTCGAGCCCTTTACAGGTCCTATGGTCACGGTTGACTGTGACTGACCTGCAAAAGGGCCCGAAACGTCGGTTTGTTTGAATTTTTGTAATTATTTGTTTAATCTGTTTTGTGGATAAGCTACTTTTATTCTTTTTTCTTTTTATATGTACGAGTATAGTTAAACAAGTATACGCGATTTAAATCCGGAAAAATAGTTTCATTTTCCTATGTGTAACAATCGCGAAAACCTAAGAACTCGAAATAATAATTATTGTTATAATTGTTTTGTCGTTTGGTATTATTTGTTTGTTTTCTATTGTATTTTTTTATATTAAAAAATAAGTGTGCATTTCGACGCACAGGTCGACGATGGAGCATGTATACCTAAATAATGCCTATTCACTCTCGCCTTGAAAAGGCTAAAGTTATACCGGTCAGGGACAAAGTCTGCAGGTAGAAATTTCAGCTCCATAGCCGTTCGCCATATAAATGTGGAAGCGAAGCGAAATGCTTCGTGCGAATCCTTGAAATATCCACAACATAGGGGTGGAACCCCAGCCTACGTCTAGTCCCCTGATGACGGAAGGGGAATGTGGAATTATATCATGCAATACCATCGCATGCTGTCCGTTGTATATTCTGTAGAATACCAACAAACTAGCAACTTTACGGCGGTGTAAGGCTCTGTAGCTTCACCTCTACTAAATCCGAGTCCACCTGTAAGCATCTTGCCACGCTTTTCAATTGAATCCAAGGTGGGGCCAGTTGTTTTTCATTGTATATCTTTTGTAATTGTATTGTGTTGTACGTTCAGATTCTGGCCGAAAATCGACGATGCTATTCGCAAGTCAGCATTAGAACAACACGTTAAAGTGAAGATGCTTATCAGCTGGTGGCAACACTCGCGGGTTTCAGAAGACCATTTCCTAAGATCCCTGGCGGCACTGTCGCAGGCCTACCCTAGAGTTGACTTGCAAGTCGTAAGTATCAACCACTATTTTAATATTGATTGTATTGAATATCAACATTTTTAGTACCAGGATATGCATTTTTCATGAAATTACTCCACTAATTGGTTATAATTATTAACACAAAGGTCGAACACAAAGAAAAGTTCCTTCGATCCGACAGAACATGAGCCTGCGTCTGCGCTCAACCAGGGCTACTGACATAGACGCAGGTTCTGTCAGATCGAAAGAAAAACCCTTTGTGTTCGATAATTTGTATTTTATAACAAACCACACTTTTATTATGATTATTAATATAAATATCGAACACACAGAATTTTTTTTTTTCGACCAGTTGGGACTTGAATCCATGACCACGCTGTGCCGTAGCGCTGCTCTGACCAACTGAGCTACATGCGAAGAAGGTTCTAAAATCTCTCACTAGATGTCACTAGCGGCGCAGAAAGCCGAAAATACAGTACAAAGATCTTTAATAAACACACAGGATTATTTCGACAACTCGATAACTTGACATGTAGCTCAGGTGGTTAGAGCAGCGCTATGTGTACAGCGTGGTCATGGGTTCAGGTCCCATTGGGTCGAAACATTTTTTCTGTGTTCGATCTTTATTATTATTTATTATTATTATTTAATAATCATAACAAAACCAGTGGTTATTTCGCAAAAAATCTCAATAAAACCACACTCTTGTTACGCCCTTCCTATGTTTTGTTGTACATATAAAGGCACGTAACATCGTGTTTCTTATCTGTTTCTTAGGATTTCGTCATTGTTGCACATTGGAAATAAATCTGCTTTTTTCAGATCTAAATTGCGTGCATTTGTTTTTTAAAACCAACCAACTCCGTCCCACTATTTATTAATTAATATCTTTAAATTTATTTCTAATTTCCTTCTAATTAATCAATTTAATTTAGTAAAATACATATTGTTAAAATATTTAGCAAAACGTGTGTAGCGTAAATTTCAATGTTCTTTGGCAAATTAAAACTAAGGCATTTAAATGTCGTGGTAGCCTAATGGTTTAACCGTTGTCGGGTCTTTTGCGTTTTTCAACGACTTTTTATCCGTAGCGCCATCTACAAGAAATTTATAAAAGTATTTCGTCACTCAGTTAGATACCTTTACAGCTGTCAGCCTTGGCTAGAGATATCGCTATTAACTGTATATTTATTAAACAAAATTAGTTAGAAAAAAATAATTTTAGTTCCAATCATTGACTTACAAATAAATGGACGACGGGTCTAATACAAAAACCACGAAAAAAATGTCCCAAGTCAACCTATTTAAACGTAGTGACATGTAAAGGAATATGAAAAAGCTAAAACGTTAGATTTAAATTGTAATGTCATCGCAGTACTGTCTAATTTTGCTTGCTTCGCTGTCAGTCGAACAAACGAAGACTAAAGCGTGAATGACGCTCTGTATTTTTTTTAACGCCCTATAAATTCGGTCACTTTTTAGCGCGGACCCGACGTCCATATAATTGTAAGTCAATGGTTCCAATCGTGTTTCTTGTTCTTTCAGAGACGTTTTATAGTCCCATCGACGCCGGATCAAGAGAAAATCCCATTCGCAAGAGTAAACCATAACAAATACATGGTGACAGACAAAACTGCGTACATCGGCACTTCAAACTGGGCGGCTGATTATTTTATTGATACCGCGGGTGTCGCATTCGTTTTCCATGACGAACATGGAATGTCTCAGAACGCCACCCATGACATCAGGAAGGAGCTGCAAGAGGTTTTTGAAAGGGATTGGACTTCCCCATACGCCGTACCTCTAAGGCGGGCGTAGTATTAAGTATTTTGGATTTTACGCTAGTGTTTTTTTAATAGTTTTTTCTTACTGTCGTATGTGATTTTTTCGAAGTACAATTTTAATTATTGCGTATTTAGGTCAATTTATAGAAAAGTTATAGACAGTAATACTGTCACTTTATCCTATGTCCCTTCAGCCCGAATTTGAAATTTCGAATAAGAGTTTCAAGCCACATGTAGCCATGTTGAGGCGACTGGTTTGTGCCAAGTCGAGTCGAAGGAGTTTTTCTTTGCATTTGTTCAATATTTACATCAATAATAAAACATTCAATCTTATGTTTTTAGTTATATAAATAATGTATTTTTCTCAAAATTAATTATATATTACGCCCATACGTGTTGTAAGGGACGATGTTTAATGTTTCTTATTGAAATACTCGTTCTAAATTTGAAATTACTTTTTCGTAATTGAAACTAAAAGTATTCTACTTTGAAAATGAATGAAAGTGTTGACAAAAAAAATTTGAAGTATTCTGTCTGTAGATAATTTACCTAATTTACTAGGTACTCTCGTGTGACCTGATATCCAATTTTAGAGTGAATAATGTAATAAATAATAATGTTAAGTAAATAAGCGTTTTCATTTGTTTATATCTTGACATAGTGGCAATCGACATAATATGTTTATTATCGAAACTGTATTAACATAGTATAATAAGATAAGTAAGGTAATTCCATACAAACAGCGTGCACGTCCACCGTGCGTCGTGTATGGACGTACACATTCGAATAATCTCGCGGTATACTCGAGTTGCACAGCGCGGGTCGCACGCGCCTTTCATTTTAGATTTGAAGCATTCGCTCGGTATTTAAAATATTTTTTGTGTCAAATTTATATATTTTTTTATTTTTAAATGTATCGTCATTTCTATTTCATGATCATACTCCCTTAATGCGCGTTCCTATTATGTCGGGACGACAGATAGTCGTGCAGTTTAAATTTGTTCACGCGTTTAAACAACAACACAATTAACTATCGCTTACGACTTTTTTTGACGTTACGACGATAGACGATAGAGATACGAAGATAGAGCTGGAACGATAGTCGTCAGACGATATATAAAACGTCGCGATAAAAATGCGACGACAGATAATCGCAGCTTCAAACGATTCTGTCGTGCAAACGACAAGACAGGTGTCGTCAAATTGTCGTCACGATCAAGCGGGAACAACTAGACACGACTGTCGTTCAACGATAAAATAAACATCCACGACATAGTCACGACAGATAGTCGTGATATGGGAACAGGCTAGATACGACAATCGTCCTACGATAAATAGTCAAAGTCAAAGTATTATTGCTTCCATGTCACAGATCTTAAAATTTAAATAGTACCACCATGAATAAAACGTTACGACATTGTGGGAATGCGCCCTAAATCCAAATCAAATCCACGATGCTTGTATAAAATATCAATATGTTTGTTATCAATATGTATGTGTTGTCAAATGCAATACTTAATTTGACAAAGGTTATTTCAATATAGCATAATTTTAAAAAGTTTACGACCTATAGGTACAATTAAAATAATAATGTGATAATAAATGACAACCCTACGCTCCGCGTAGGCATTGACGCGCCGAATAAGCGGCAGTTGCATTGCTTGTCTTATTATACTATGGTTTTGTAATATTTATACAGATGAATATTTTTACTTACTTACTTATTAATGAGGGCTACTTGTAGTAGTGGGGTTGCCCCTCAATCGCGAACAAAAATGGTTCACGTATTCGATACTAAATGCAGGTTTTTGTCTTTTCTTTCGCGATTTTAGGGGAGTCATTCCAAAAGCTGCTTGTATTAATGAATGGAATCATCCTCTGAAATATTGACAAGTAAAAAAAATCACTCTGTAATCATGGGCAATGATTTCGGGTCGGCAACAAAGTAGAGCTGCCCGTAAATGTTGATGTATGATGACTAAGAGACAATTCTAAAAAAAGTTCAAAAACGATGAAAAGAACTGGTTTTCTTTGATCGATGACCTGCATTGCCTGTGAGTATATTTACAATTCATGTTTGTGTGTTATACAAATACCTAGATAGGATAGAAAATGTAATCTTATTTTTATTAATTATTGGAAATAGTTTTACACATTCTATACTTGCCGTTTCTATGAGTGACAGTGTGTGTTCTTTGTGTGATTTTGACTTCGCATGTTTGGCTAGTTAACAGCGACTATTCCTTTTTATTAGTTACAGTCTCGATTGTTATGTGTATTTAAACAAATTCAGAGAAAAAAAATTGATGTTGTTTTTTTTAACTTTGCAACAGTGTTTATGTAAGATGCAGGTTTCTTTACGATGTTTTTCTTCTAAACTATGTAAAGTTTTAGTACTACATGGACGACACCTTTATGCATGAAAGGCAAATAAATATTATTCAGGCAATCACTGTTCTCTCCATAGATATAGAAAAAAAAGGGAGATATGTAATTACGCTATGTAAGATCGGGTACCGATGTCGCCACTTTTTAGCTTGTGTGTAATTCAAACTTTACGCTCTGTTATCTACTACCATAACCATTGACTTACAAATAAATGGACGACGGGTCTAATACAAAAACCACGAAAAAAATGTCCCAAGTCAACCTATTCGAAATTTAAATTGTAATGTCATCGCAGTATCGCGCTGTCAGTAGAACAAATGAAGACTAAAGCGGAGTGTCGCGCTCTGTATACGATTTTAGCGCCTTACAAGTGCGGACACTTTTTAGCGCGGACCCGACGTCCATATAATTGTAAGTCAATGACCATAACTTAAAGATTTTGATTGGGTAGGGCTTAAAACGTGAAAACGACGTAACACATTTTAAAATTTAACAAAATGAAACTTACATTCACTTGAGTAAGAGTTATATTACAATATTTCAGTATTTCTTTCATCCTGGTTCAGCCATTCACCATCAGGTGGCGTTTTAGTAAAAGTGCTACTAGTATATAATAGCTAACTATTACACGTTAGATGGCGCTGAAACTCATTTTTCGTTACACTTAGAACTCACGGAGCTCTTTTCACCCGTTTCTGCCGCGGGACCGCGGTATCGGTAGAATATAATAGTTAAGTATGTAAAATTAGTAGCACATTTCACGGCACGTTTTACGCCTATAGTGGTGACGGTTGCTCGTGGTTGCCGCGGCGGGGTACTAGTAGAACCGCGTAGGACGCGATCACCTGCGCGCTTGGCGGCCGTCGTCGTCCGCGCACTTTAGGTTCAGGCGCACGCGAGATGAGTTCTCTATTAACCGCGCGACTTGCGGTCGTGAATATTGAAATAACTTTCTAGCAGAACCGGCGGGCGCGGGTGGAAACCGCTCCGTGAATTGTTAACCTTATTAACCTTAAACTGACGCTACTCAACGAGTGATGTGGTCCTACCTAATCGATAGTTAGAAACCATAGGGCCATGTGGCATTTAATATTAAAAAAATATTCCATTTTTCATACTATACCTACACTGGTACTGGTGTATTATTAAATTAATATATTAATATAAATTATTATTATTTTCTTAATGGCGATCACAAGGCTTGGGCCAGTGTCAGTTTTATAAGAATAATATAAAAAATATAGCGTTCGTCGCCAGTGTCAGTTTTCCATTATACGTTCCAACGAGTTGGTGAAGCTGTCACTGTCAAGAGTAAACTCGAACCATCTACGAATTTAATAAATTAAATTATGTTGTTTTTTATGAAGGATTTATGTAGTTTTCTATAATTGTTTCTAATTTATTTTGCATGCACATGTAAAATAAAGCCGATTTTATTTTGTTTATTTTTTAAATGCCTTTGCTTTGGAAATTTAAAAAGTTCTGCAGCTTCAATCCAACCTCTCTTTCTTTTATTTTGAACTCATTGGAAAAGCCTAAAAATTAAAAATACTCTACGTTTAATCTACGAGTATAATGGAATTGAAATATCTAAATTATCTAAAACAATAATACACATACATTTTTCTTCAAGCAACGTACAAATTGACATGAAATTGAAACGGTTGTCCGAAATATGAGTTGTGTTAAAGTTACTCGAAATAAAACGTTTAATAATAATAATAATAATAAAATAAAAGAAATCAATTTAACGTGAATGCTTTTCGCTTCGATATTTTAAGGACTTTAATTACAAAATTCATATAAGAAATTCAAACATTTCAGTAATAATTTATTGTCGATAAACATCAGTCATCGTAAATGAACATCACATCACATTCTATGGAGATAAAAAGAAAACATTGAATTATAATAGAATTATTAACTAAAAATGCAAATGGCCCGTGGAATGTTATCTCACTGGTTTTAAAATTTTTGTTTTTGCTCCAATTTTTACAAGGTGTATCGCTACAACTTGATGATCAAAATGATCATATCGAGGCGACACGAACTACGCCATCATACCAAATCTCCCATTTTTTTTCTATATCTAAGGTTCTCTCTAAAAAGGACAACACCTCTTTTTAGATCTAGCTAAAGAACATAAATGCCCTAGTTCGTTTCTAGTTCGTCCTAGTTCGTTTATGGCTAAGTGTCATGGTAACTTAATTTTCATACATCTGTACCAAATTGTCTCGTCAGGGCATTACGTCACGGGTATGCCCATTTAATAATTACTTTAAACTTATAATAGTTAAAAACGGATGTCTGATTTCTTGAATATCCAACTAAGCAAATGTCCAATTCCCTACGCGACTTTCAATCAGGCTGTAATCCGATCCTAGCTCGCACCCATACAATTTTTGGAAATAATGTGTATATATATATATATATATATATATATCTATCTAGCTTTTCGGTGACGAAAAAACATCGTGAGGTAATTAATTTTCATGCATCTGTGAAGAAACTAAATGTGTATGGGAACCCCTCCCGCAATGGACTAGCATGGGGAGAGGGTTTTAATTTTTTTTTTAAATACCAAATGACGGGTCGAACTAGTAAGCGACACGCCTATCCATAACAGTTGCAGTGCCACTCAGGGCTTTAAATCGCAAAGATCTTGGGGGCACTGCCACTGCGCCCGCCACTCTGAGACATAATTTGACAAGTCCCGTCTGTCTGTAATTTGAGTAGCATCCTTACTTACCCTTTAAAACCGGAACGCAATAATGCTCACATTACTGCTTGGCGGCAGAAATAGGTAACGTGGCAGTACTTCCCTGGACGAACTTTCACACGACGGTGTACTGCTACTACTTATAGATTTTCTATAACCAAGAGATGAAGGTCGTGTCTATAAGTTTGCAGCTATCCATTTGAAATTACTATTATGCTATAGTATTATTTGTCGATTCGGTTGAATATTAAGCGTTATTGTAAATCTTTTGTTCTGGAGTGTATGTAGTGCATCGATAAAAGGAAGCAAAATAAAAAATATAATGATAACTAATTTTGATAAAGTACACTCAAAAAAACTCGGCAATCCTGTGATGTCACCAACGAGACAACTAATATATTTACGGACCTTGATAAAGATCAAGTTGTACAGGCCGGTGTTCCTAGTTTTTTAGCCCTTCTCGGTTAGTATTTGAACAAAAAAATGTAGGTACTTT